CCCCTTTTTGGCCTGGCGCGCCGCCTTGGGCCCGGACCTCGCTGGCACACTGGTGGGCCTTGGGACAATGGCCTTATGTACCCCCGAAGCTGCTCTAAAGCAATACCGAATGCGAGCTGCAATTGAAAATGTTTTTAATTTATGTTTTAAGTTAAAAAAAGAAAGATGCCTTTATTAATGACCCATGCTAGTTATTAGAAACCCAAGCCATAGAGGAAAGTCCAAAGGGAAACAGAAATAACCACCGGTGGGTTGTGATTGGGAAAATGGCAGGGCAAAAGCCCTGGCTGGTCACATAGAAACAGAGGCACGATTTCAGGAAGGCGACATCCTGCCTTCGTGCTGTTACCATAAATAAATAAAAATAAAAAATAAGTTATTTTCCCTGAATCTAACCTAAGAGAAACGCACGAATTTTGACAACGTTTTTAGAGAAACGTTTCCTTGCTGCAGAGATGTCGTCTCCTACAACGTGCCACCAGGGCCAGCTTCCCGGCCACCCTCTTCTGACGCTCAGAGGGCTGGTGCTCTGCGGGGAACACTGCTTGTCACTGTCTTAAAATTGTCAATAGTTTTAAACAAGGAGCTCCGTGTTTTCGTTCTGCACTGGGCTCCGCAAATTTTGTAGCTGACCTTGCCTATGATTGTAAAAAAGTTATGAAAACATCCAAGAAGCTAAAGTCTATGTTTTTTTAATCCCTGTGGTTCCATTTCAGATTGTATTTATTTAACTCCTGTGCTGGAAAAAGTCAGGAAATTGTTGCTCTCATTTCCTCCCATCCCCACCTGGTTTCCTTATTACTGTTACAACGTCAGTGTTTGAGACACACTCTGTTCCATAGTCTCAGTTACAGCCCTTATTTGAACTTGACTTGCTCATTCCATCACCAAATACTTTTAAGTGTCCACTTTCTGTGTGTCATGGCTCTCATGCTGGGGATAGAGCAGAAACTGGCATTTAGCTGGGAGCGGGTCACCTGGGACTGCCACTGTGAACCAGTTTACAGGGTTCTGTGTCCCTGGGTGAGCTAGGAGAGAAGTTGCAGAAACTGCCAGTCTGAGGCCAGCACTGGGACCCTGCAGTGATGGCCATGGGGGCAGCACCCTAACAGCCCCACCCATGTGGTGCCCACAGAGTGAGGCCCAGAACCGGGCTCAAGAAGAAAGGCCAGCGGCTGCTTCTGGAAAAGCAGAGGCTGTCCTAAGCCCTAAAATGTGATTCCTCACATGATCCCATCGTGACTGTGGTGTCCTGGTGGGGCTCCCAGCTCACCCGGCCCTGGGCTCCCAGCTCCCAGAGTAGCTGGGGACACCGCAGCACCAGTCCCCCTGTCCCAGCCAGAGAGGCTGGCAGGAAGCTGCATACCTGTCCTGGTGGGGGATGGAGGAGGGAGAGAAGAGCCCTCTGCTATCCCAGGTAAGTCAGTGCCCTATTGGCTCCCCCCCCCC